TATACTTTATGTATATAATAATATTAACAAGATTAAAATAAAACTAGAATCAGTTCAACATTGACTTACATTGGATATTGTAGACATAATGGTTTAGGGTGAACCAAAAAAACTAGTGATTTTTATCTGTCTTGCTGATGTATCTCGTTGTGTTGCTGCCAAGTCTCGCCATCTCTGTAGCATCATAATATCGACAGCTCTGGCTTCCTCTTGTTGCTCGACGTATTTTATCGCAGCTTCAAAAATTTTTACTCCTCCTTTGTGTGAAACTTTTTGTGGCTCAACAGTCTCTAATTCTTCGATGTCTTCAACACCTTCACTATTAACAACCGTAACAATTTCTTCATCGGTTATTTCATATTGTTCATCCCTTGAAAACCACTCTCCAACATTACCCAAAGACGCATCCTCACATCCAGGGATACGTTTCACTAAGGGCAATATATTTTCCTGAAGTTCATCCAAAGTGTTGTCAGCAGTTCCTTCATCCTCACACAACAGCTTATCCCAGGACTTAGTAATTGTTTGTGCCCCAACCTTATCCCATGCACTTGAGATCCAGTAGGACACATCTTTCAAGTTAATCGCTTTCAATATAGGGATTAAGTCTCCGCCATCGTTCATTTCTTCTATCATGGTCGATAGAAGGATTCTCCGATAGTTTCTTTTCAGCGTCTCCAAAACACCCTGGTCCATAGGTTGAGAGATAGCTGTGACATTCGGAGGGAGGAACATGGCCTTTATGTCCCCATCTTTTAGTTCACTTTCATCAGGATGAGTCGGCGCATTATCTAACAGTAAAACTGCTTTTCTTGGTAAATTATTGTCTTTTAGAAACTTCTCTGTTGATAGTACAAAATCCGAGAAGAACCAATCTTTAAAAATGTCACTGCTCATCCACGCACTTTTCTGATTGCAATATTTCACTGGTAGAGCATGTCTTGAAATTCCCTTAAATGCTCTGGGGTTCTTTGCCTTTCCAATCATTGTGAGTTCCATCTTATGGTTTGACGTGGAATTGCTACATGCTAAAATGGTTACTCGCTCTTTGCTGCGTTTATAGCCAGGAGCTGCTGATTCACTTTTAGCTGCAAGACTCTTATTGGGTAACATTTTATAATTAAGGCCTGTTTCATCGCAATTAAATATTTGATCATTTGTTAAATTTTCCGCCTTAATAAATGCTTGAAACGATTTCTTAAATGTAGCCATTCCTTGAAAGTTTGATGATAATTTCTCACCACAAATAGACAGCTGACGAATCCCGTACCGCTTCTTCCAACGGTCTAGCTAGCCGACACTTGCTGTAAAATCTGCCTCACCCTCTTGAAATTGCTTTTGGAAGTGCAATGCCTTTTCTTTTAAGATAGGCCCGGATATAGGCACTCCCTTATCCCTAAAGTGGACAAACCAAATGTACAAAGCCTCGCTAGTTTTTTCGTAATCACTTTTTTTCATGGATTTTCTGTCTTTCAAGTCGATTTCAGTGGCTCGTGAAGAACACCATTTTTCCAATTCTGATCGGTTTTTCCTCCAATCTCCAACAGTACGACGACCAACACCATAGTTATCAGCCACTCTCTGCAGTGTTTCCCCTTTATCAAGCCTTTTTAATGCATTTAGTTTGTCTTGCATTGATAAGACAATCTTTTTCCTTTTTTGTTTCTCCATAACCACGATCGATTGATAGCAAAGAATAAACTCTTACTCGTAGCGTACGGGCCTCAAAACGGTAAAGCGAACAAATAACCTTACTGTGCATGACTCACTGAAAGGAACAATAGTTGATTCGACGAAAGTGTACTAAATAGCAAATAAAGTAATAAAGTTATAAAAACAGAGTATTTATGACTGGTCTGGGGGACGGGGAGGTAAATAATCTATTTTGTCTGGCAGCCTGACACCAAATTCCTACCTGTACAGTCATTGGCGTGTAGCAGATTATTTTCAAAATTATACACAATTAATTTTTTTTTGCATAAATGGTGCGGCGGATAAAACGGAACGGCGGATAACCGAAGGGCGGATAATCGAGACTCTACTGTATTTCTAATCTAATTTCAAACTGTTTATTTAAATAAAAATGAAGGGTTCCAGTTGAAAATTCAAAGTTGCTACACCCACCGCGTTCGCAGGGAGAATAAGAACCCTACTATTGCATAAGTATATAGATTTTGAAAAACCATTAAAAAAGAATTCCTAAGTTTTTTCGATACGACGTCCAGTTCTCGAGATATTTGACAATCGCCTTTCTGGACAGATCTCTTTAATAATGTAAATAATATTCTTCAAACCGGAAATAAGCCGAAGGGAGTGAGAGGTCTGACTGTAAAATTCATTTGCGATGTTGCCAAATTTACCGGATCTCGGGTTGTCTACAAAATGTATATTTAGCATATACACAACGGATCGCTCGCACTGCCTCTACAGCGGATTTAGTGGAACTACTGCAATATAAAATTCACCAAAAGGGTGCAAAATGAGGTCCAGACAAAAATCGATTTCTTTGTACCCCCTTCATTGTTACATCGAGATGTCACTATATACACGTGAATACAAGGTGAGATCCAAAATCGGATCTCTCCTTGCAAAACGGATCTCATTTTGTATAGCTTATGATACAAACGGATCTCGCCTTGATATGAAGACATATATATATATATATATATATATATATATATATATATATATATATATATGAGTAGCTGAAATGCAAAACTCGCTCGTTCAGGACATGTAAAAAACTTATTGTGTCTGACTAATTAACTTAAGTAAAATGAATTTTCTGCTTGTGAAACATTATCCTGGTCTCGATAAAGAAACTAAGAATTAAAAAATCAGAAGCAACATTTTAATAGAAAAATATTAGATTAAAAGTTAGAACGAACAAGTTTTGCAATGAAGCATTGCATTGAAACACTTTTACTGTGAACCACCTGGGAACAAACAAGTTATGCATCGTAATAGTTGAAACCCAACCAAATAGAAAATAGTAAAGTAGACAGTTTTTGAAATTTTGTTTATTTATAGAACTTGTACAAAACAATATTATTTATTAAAAAAACGTAATGCTAATAATTTTATTATTATTAGGCCAAAAAAATGTTAAATAGAGAGCCCATTAGCTTCCTCTATTATTTCAATGTGCTCTTCCTCATTGTTTTCTTCTACTCCTTTAAAATTATTATACACAATGGAGACACAGAATTGTCGTAGGTTTTCCAGTTCTCACCAAAATGAGTGTTAAGGAGTTTTTCCACATCTTTAATTTTTTCTTTTGCAACCATGACGTTGTTTGAAAGGAGAGCTGGTATAATCTGATTAATTTTCTTTTTCTTTTTTATTATTGGTTTTGGACGCCTAGATTGCACCTGTAATTAATTTCACCCTGCACAGTCACATTGTTTTGATTAGTTTTTTCTGTGATTATTCTTTTGGAAGCAGCAAATTTGAACTGGAGTTGGCCTGGAGATTTTACAACTGTAGTAAATGCACTTTTCCAGTCCTGAATCGCTACCTGGGTCCCAACTTTTCTAATTTATATGTAAATTTATACGTAAGTAAAGCGCAAAGAATTCGAGTTAAAAACACCAAACCGAAAAATGGTCTAATCCCAGGTCTCCCTTTCTTAAAAACACATCCTTGTTAATGGTAGCACTGCGCGGTTTTTCATATTTGGAGGTCCATCGAACATATGAAATAATAAAACCCCTTTAACGTAGTTCCTTTTTAAAGTGCATAATCAGTAGCCTAAACATTTTGCTATTAGACTAGAATAAATATTTTATAAAGTATTTTATGGATAATTATTATTTAAATGGGAATAAGCCACAATTTATAACAATACCATACATAAAAGGATTAGCAGAAAAACTGAAAAGGATGGGAAATAAATTCAACATTTCAACAACATTCAAACCAACAAACACGTTGAGAACTATTTTGTCCAAAACCAAACCTAACAATGAACAAAAAAGGACAAAGAATTGCATCTAGAAAATACCTTGTGAATGCGATTATTTAGGTGAAACAGCAAGGCCATTAAATGTTAGAATAAGTATATTCATCCATGTTATATTAAAAATAGAGAATTTGATAGATCTCAAATATGTAAACACGCATGGGATAATGAATATAGGGTTCAATGGAATGATTCAACTATAGTCCTAAAAGAAACGGATGGTAAAAAGAAAAAATCAAAAAAGCGGCTATAATTCAAATTCCTCGTCAGAATGTAGTAGGATCTGGCTACCCATATTGAAAGAGGAAGTTACTAAAAGGAAAATCCCAGTATTAGTAAGTCAGTAAAATATAGAAGATGCATCATTTATGTTTTTTTTTAATAACACACATATAAAATCAGAATTTGGTGTTTATTGAAGGTAAACTAAATGCACGACCAAATACTTACCATGTCGGGATAGTATTAAGGTTTTTTCCTGGGCTTCCCTCATAATTTACTATTGAATCACTAACAGGAGAATTTTACTGTCATCATGGCATGTGTTTGTCTTTTTAAAGACGAATTACATGCTACGATTTTTTCTGACGGATATTCTCAAGTTAAAGTTGATTTCATGTAATCCCAGGAGCGCAACTCAACAATATTGGCAATATATCATTTTAAAGTCGTCTACTTTAAAATGTATAACGTATGTCTGAATTGTCAATATAAATGAGTCAGATAAAATTAAATTATTAGAAGAATTTTTCACTAAGTAACAAAAAAACAAAATTTGTTTAATTTACTAATGTTTGTATTTTGAGAACGATTTCCGAAGTGGAAATTGAAACGTCAATAAACGTACTTTAACCTTTAATTGTGACTTATTCCCATTTAAATAGTAATTACTTTAAAATGCCACAAGAAAATAGCTTCAGAACAATATTTTATGGATGTCTTGTCGTTGAGCGATCATATCGTGAAATTGTTTTGGCAACATCGCTTGTTTACGCGAAATGACTTACTTTTAATAGATGTTCATAGTAATGGTTTCTATATGGCCTTGGAGTTGGTGTTACCTGAATTTGTAAGTTCTAGGTAAAATACGTTTTATATGTTGTATTATACTGTTATTTTTTCTTTTAAAATGCAAGTGTAGTTGTGGTTTCAATTTTTATTTCCGAGATATTCCATCCAAATTGCATTACATTTTTAATTGTTTGTTTTATATATTATACCTAATTGTAAGTTATGGTATAAGTTTCTCATTTTCTATTTCTCACACCGTAATCTTATGTTTTCTTCTTCTTTATTCTTCTTAACCCGCGATCGGTACCGCTAAAGAATCTCCGCCGTAGGTACCGTGTTAGATTATATCTAACATAATAATGTTGTTCCCTTTTTAAGGTATTTGGTACTTTTCAGTATATTTCATAGCTTATATTCGTTCCGGTAATGGTAAACGATAGATTATACTTCATGCTGGAAATGATGAGGGTTTTATTCCTGACGCTAGTTTAATTTTTTCGTCCACAAAGAATACAGGCGACTACCATGAAAATAAAGTAACGAAGTTCTGTGCAGTATCAAACAGAGTCATTTATCTTGTCATCGCTTTGAACAGCAGATACAGCTTACAGTTAATACATGTATATGCACCGACAGGAAACTCAACAGACGAGGAAGCTGAATCATTTTACGAGGATCTGACAACAGCAAGGAACCAAGAAAAATCACACTTCGTAATAATCACAGGAGATTGTAATGCAAAACAATATATCGGTCGCTTTGGGCTGGACAACAGGAACAAAAGGGGTGAGATGTTGTACAACTACTTAAACAACGAAAATTTATTTTGTCTTAACACTTTATTTAAAAAATCTAAACAACGTAAATGGACATGGATCAGCCCAGACAAGAAAACTAAGAACGAAATAGGCTACATACTCTCCAATAACAAAAACATATGCACCGACGTAACAGAACTAAACAAATTCTATACCGGGAGTGACCATAGATTGGTTAGAGCGAATATTAAAATACAGACCAGAGTAGAACGAAACAAACTAATTAAACGAGAACGATACCCAACCACCGATGTCCTGTTTCAAAAACAAACGGAATACCAAAAAGAGCTAAGCACAAGACTAAAATCAATAGAGACACTGAAACAAATGGATATAAACAGACTAGCCAATAAAATAAAACTAACTGTAACAACATTGGTTAGGAAAATATGCTCAAATACGAAAACAGCCAAAACATCTAAACTTCAACCCTCCTCTGTCATCCAGCGATCTGGAAGCGGAATGGCCGTTGAAAGGCCGGCATCACTTCCGAAGCACTACCTTTATTCATTCATTCTCCATTCATACACATCCACACTCTATTCATTAGCAAGGAGGCTCCCTGTCTCATTTCAGGTAGAGCGTAGAAAACATTCATCGCTTCTAGTTCGGTATCATTCTCAGATGGGCATTTCCTCCTTCCTCAAAGTCTGACTCACGCATTCTAACTCATACAGTGTGACCCACTTTTCTAGCTTCACCTTTCAGCATCATTCACTCTTAGCTTTGCCGTCGGTCCAGCTGTCTTTCTTTCTCTTTCTTTTTTTTTGATCACTGCACGGATATAGCTATGTATGTTACTTCCAACTTAATTTATTTTCAATCATTCTCTCAATCATTTCTCTCACTGTAACAAAATTCACACCTGTCTCTCTCTCCATTCTGTTCCTTTCCTCTATCCATCTGCTGCAATCGAACATCGTATGTGTCACAGTGTCCGAGTATCCACAGTATAGGCATTCATCTGTATCAGCCTTTCCGATCCTATAGAGGTAGGCCCTAAAACACCCGTATCCTGTGAGCACCTGCGTCAAGAAATAATCCTCCACACATCCTCCCTGTTGTTCCATTCTTCTTGCCATCTTTCAACTGACCTTTCCCTTTCCTGTCTTCTCTCGACCACAGTAATGTTTGGGCCTCTTTTCTCATAAAGCTCTTTTCTTTCCACCGCCAAAACATGCAACGGAATACATCCAGTGATGGTCCATAAGTCTGCCGCAGACACAGTCCTGTAGGCCTCGTTCTTACTTCGTTCCACTGAAGCGTATTGAATGCATTCTTAACATCAAACAACAGCAGGGCCGCCCAGCGATGTTTATCCCCTATGTTGCGCAATGCTTCAAGTACACTCATGATTGCATCAATCGTGCTTTTTTCCTTTACAAAAACCAAATTGCCTCCGACATAAACCACCTGACCTCTCAATGATGTCGTCTATGCGTACTCGCAGCATCCTTTCATACAACTAACTGATGCATGGAAGAAGGCAGATGGGACGATACTTTTCTCTAGCTTTGGGAAGCAGTTTTAACCTCGATGTCCTCGAAGGCTCAGAAAAGGTTTGTGCTTCCAGCAGTGCATTCATGTGTTCCAGAAGCCACGCAGGCTCCACCTGTCCTAGACCCTTCACCGCCTCAGGTGGTATCTGATCCAGTCCGGGAGACCTACGAGTCTTCAGTGAACCCAATGCCTCGATAAGTTCATCCATGGTAAAGAGTACAGCCCGCTCAGCTCCTTCATCCCTCCATACACCATACAATTGAGTTAGTTTGGGGTATAGCCAAAAATTTTTATGATAAACATGCATCCAAAACAACAGATGACGCTAGCATTCTTAGTTCATGGAAAGAATCGCTAGAACAAATAAAGCCAGAACAATGGCAAAATTGTATTAGACATACGGAAGACATAATCGTTCAGTCTTTTCAAACCGAGCGAGTTAAGGTCGATTCAGACACATCAGTCACGTCTCGTAACAGTGATTGCGTCGAACCGAACAATCCGTCATACAAAATATTCTTTAATACAAATATGTTGCCGGCATTCACACTCATCAGTTGACAAACAGTTTCCCAGCTGTCAGATAGTTGATAGTTCTGTGACCAAACAGGACCGGTTCGGCGCCGAGACTATGACGGGACTGATGTGTCTGAATCGACCTTTATAGATGAGGTCCGGCCTCTAATTGTTCGGATAAACAATTCAGATAGTGACGACTCTGATGGTGAAATATCAGACTGTGAATAGGACAAATCGTTTGCTAAAAAGAAGTAACAAAAAAGTGTTTCGGGAATTCAATTCGGACTTTGTGGTCTGTTTTAATTAAACGATAAAGTACCTTCTGTCGAATTACTGGACTGCATACTCTCAATATCTCAATATTTGGACATACCGGCAACTTGGCAAGTATTTTCCAAGTCTACTGCATGCAAAACCATTCGTATAATTTTCACTCTACGCAAAATATAAGACTTATTGAGACCTTGATGAAAATTTGATGTCGACAAATAATTTCGAGTATTCGAAATATTCAGTCCCACTTCTTTTAACACGCCCTATATATATATATATATATATATATATATATATATATATATATATACATATTATATTCATTTTATTTGCCTTTGATACAGTAAAATCCAATATTGTTACTTAACATAAAATACAGGAAATTAAATATTTTTCAAGCAATCGGAATTAAATATTCACGCCCTACTGTTTTAGGCCCACTGATCATATCTTAATATCGGCCGTCATAGGGTAAAAGGAATTTAACATTATATTCTAATGCAGTTTTTCGAAATGGTGTGTCAGGGTTTTCTACAAAAGTTTGCAAAACAAAACGTTCATGGATTTTTCATCACTAGTTGCTGTCTTCGGTAGGCCAGTTTTCGGGCGACTTTTAGTTGAACCCATTTGTTCAAAACGTTTTACAATTATACTCCAAACGGCAGTTTTTTTGGTAATTGGTTTACGTATTATTAAATAACTGAGCTACTTCATCATAACTTCTCATACGATCGCCGTAACCTCTCATCATAAGAATCTTTATTCTTTCCCGTTTGGTAAACATATTGATTTTTTAAAGATATTTAAAGGTATAATACGTTTGAAATAATAATGTCACTATAGTCTAGTTCAGGGGTCGGCAACCTGCGGCTCGTGAGCAGCAGAACAAACCAGAAATCTTGAATAAAATTAAAGATTTGCCACTATCCGCTAAAACAGTACAAGATAGAGTAGCTAAAATGTCTTCAAATGTAACATATTTGCAGGTGGAAGATATTCAACTTTCTTTCGCCTTATCACTTGCTATAGATGAGTCTTGCGATGTAAAAGACGCGGCACAAGTTGCCCTTTTTGTCAGGTATATGTCTTCCCAAGGTCCCAAAGAAGAACTTCTTGGATTGCTACCGCTCTCGGACAAACTAGAGGGGAAGATATAGCGCATGCCGCGCAAAAGTGCCTTAAAGACAATGAGATCGATTTATCTAAAATCGTTTCAATAGCAACTGATGGAACCAGAAGTATGACAGGCAAAATAAAGGGGTAACAACGATTCTTCAAAGCAAATTAAATCACGAACTTCTTACGTTTCACTGTCTAATACACCAAGAATCGCTTTGTGCCCAAACATTTCCAGCCGAAATAGTTAAGGTCATGAATTTGGTGATCAAAATTGTTAATAGCATCTTGTCAAAAGCACTCTACCATCGTTAGTTTAAAGAATTCTTAAACGAAATGGAGGCTCAGTATTCCAACCTCCTTCTTCATAATAAAGTGCGATGACTTTCCAAAGGTAAGGTGTTAAAACGTTTTGCTTTGTGCTTGAATGAAATAAATACATTCGTAAATGAAAAAGGCATCAATCACCTTGAATTAGGGAACGACAAATGGTTGCAAAAATTTTACTTTATGGAGGATATCACAGCGAAATTACATGAGCTGAATCTAAAACTGCAAGGAAATGGAAACCCAGCCTATGTTTTGGTGAAAGAATTGGTTTGTTTTGAAAAAATTAATTCTTTTTGCAGAAGATATTCAGAGCGGTAAATTACTTCATTTTCAATTTCTAAAGCAATATCGCGATAAAATCAGTGCAACTGTTGACACGACTTACTTCAGCACAGTTACCAAAAAATTTAAAGATTAATTTGCTGGCAGATTTGAACAATTCAAAACCAACAAAACTACTTTAGCATTCATAGTAAATTCTCTCAACACAAATTGTAACGAAATTCACGTTGAGATATTTGGAATTCATACTGGATTTTTAGAAGTGCAATTGATCGATTTAAAAAGTAAAGCTTTGTGGAGTGGAAAATTTACAGAATTGAAAAGCAAGTGGGAAATGTATGTAACGCAAAAAAAGTGGACAGCTTTGAAAGAAATGCCGCGTATTGAGGAACTATTCGATGCATGGAATAGTCTTCCAGATTGCTACAGTGAGGTGAAGAAGTTGGCGTTTGGAGTACTAACTATCTTCGGATAGTTATCCGAATGTCAACGCGAGCAAGCGTTATCTTGCATGAATATAATTAAATGTAAACTAAGAAGCTAACTAACAAATGAAAGTTTAGAGTCGTGTTTGAAACTTAAAACAACAAGTTATGAGCCCGATTTATCTAAACTTTCTAAAACCATGCAAAGCCAACGCTCCCATTGAGATTATTTGCTCAACTGTTTGTTATTGAAGTGCAAGGTGATTTAAGTGAATATTTAGTTGTTTATTTTGTTGTTAATTTTTGGTTGAATAAATGAAATGTATGAAAATATATATACTCCATCTAATTTACTTACCGTTGCACGTCATTATCATTGACAGAGATCGAAGTTGACATAGTTGCCAAAGTATAAAAAATCCTGACTCCATTTTAAATCAAATAGGTCACATAATTATTGCAAAAGTATTACCATCTCTTTACAACGACTATTTAAATTCTTACGTGACATTTTTGAAATAAAACTCACTAATTTTGTTCTAAAAAGAACTTCTTCTTCTTCGTCTAGCCATTCACGTCCATATCTGAACATAAGCCTCTTCAAGTCTTCCTTTCCATTGTTTTTTATTGTACGCTACTTGTAGCCAATTTTTCCCGGCAGTCCTTTTCAGATCATCTGTCCATCTCATAGGAGGCCTGCCTCTGGGTCTTTTGTGTTGGTATGGTCTCCAGGTTAAAATTGATCTGTGCCATTTGTTTAGATCGCTCCTAGCTACATGTCCAGCGTATTCCCATTTCAACTGTAATGATTTTTGCACCACATCGGTGACTTTGGTTTTCTGTCTTATCCATGTGTTTGTTTTCTTGTCCTTAAGTGATATACCTAGCATTGCTCTTTCCATCGCGTGTTGAGTGACTCTAAGTATATTCATATTCTTTTTTGTGATTGTCCATGTTTGTGCCGCATAAGTTAATATCGGAATAATGCATGCATCAAAAACTTTAGATCTAAGATGTAATTGAATTTGTTGATTTCTGAGTATATAGTTCAGTTTACCGAATGCTGCCCAAGCTAACTTTCTTCTTCTTTTTATTTCTTCCGTTTGAATTTCCCTATTTAGGATTATTTTCTGTCCTAAGTATATATATTCTTCAACTTTTTCTATAACTTTATCGTTTATTATTGTCACGGTGTCTTCGGAGTGCATGATTTTTGTTTTGTTTAAATTCATTTTCAGTCCTATTTTAGAAGATTCGGTATGTAGTTCTAAAAGCATGGTTTGCATTTCTTGTAGGTCAGTAGCTATCAGGTTACTGAGGTAGCGGCCATTGATGTTTATTCCCTTATATTTCCAATTTAGCTTTTTAAAAACGTCCTCCAAAACTAAGGTGAACAGTTTGGGTGATAAAGTATCTCCCTGTTTAACTCCCCTGTTTAATGGTACAGGGTTCGTGTGTTCATTTTCATTTAGGTAGTATGTAGCTGTAGCTTGGTTCATAGTTTCTTTTATTAAGTTAATATATCTGCTGTCTATTCTACAATTTTGCATTGCGTTTATTACGGCCGTGTGTTCTATGGTATCGAAAGTTTTTTCGTAGTCTACAAATGCTAGGAAAACTGGAAACTTGTATTCGTTACATTTTTCTATTAATATTTTTGTGGTTAACAGGTGATCGGAAGTTGAGTAGCCTTTTCCAAAACCTGCCTGTTCATATGGTTGGTATTCGTCTAATTTCCTTATTAGTCGAGTAGTTATGAGTTTGGTGAGTATTTTAAACAGGTGTGACAGTAGGCTGATGGGTCTGTAGTTTTCCAATTTTCGACTATCACCTTTCTTGTGTAATAAGATTACTTTAGAGTTGTTCCAGCTCTTAGGGACTTTGCCCTGATGTAAACAACTGTCCACAAGTTTAGTTACAATTGCAATTAGTTCTTTACCTCCTTCTAATATCATATATGTGGTAATACTATCTTCTCCTGCAGCTTTATTTCTCTTCATGTTTTCCAATGCTGTAGTTACCTCTGAAATTGTTACTTTTGGCATTATTTCTGATCCAACATTTTTTATTAATTTCCGTGCTTGTCTCATCTCATCATCTTGTTGATGTGATCTGTAAAGTTCTGTGTAAAATTCTTCTATTCGTGTCAGTATGTTTTCTCTACTTGTGATTTCATTTTCGTTGTTTCCCATTAATGATATCATCTGACGTCGTCCTAGTGTCGGTCTGAGTCATTTCATACTCTTATTTTTTTCAATAGTTGTTGTTATTAATTTTTCGTTTTCTTTTCTTTTTTGTTGTCTGATTCCTTTTCTAATCTGCCTATTAAGTTCTCTATATTCGTCGGTTCCCCTTTTGTTAGATTTATTTAAGATCTTCCTTCTTATTATTATTCTTGTTATTATAAAGATATAATTTATTTCATTCTTTGTCTTTTTATCGGGACTCATCCATGTCCATTTTCTGCTTGGTTTTTTATTGAAAAAGGAGTTCATTGAGTACATGTTATGTTCATTCATGAAATTGAGAAGCATTTCTCCTCTATTGTTTCTTTTCCCGTAGCCATAGGTACCAATTAAATGTTCATAATCTTCCTCTTTTTTGCCCAATTTAGAATTAAAATCTCCTAATAGTATTTCGTAATTTGCTTTATTTGTTTCTATAGCTGTTCTTATTTCTTCATAAAATATTTCTACTTCTTCATCGTCGTGGCTTTTGGTCGGAGCGTACACTTGGATCACTTTCAGAGTGGTTCTTTTATTAATCCTAAGGTTGAGATATGCTACTCTGTCTGATATGGGCTTGAATTCTTCGATACATTGTGTGAGGCTTTGTTTTACCAAGAATCCCACTCCAGTGTATTCGCCACCTTTATGCATAAAATGTGTGCCATTTTTTAGTATTATATACTCATCACTTTTTCTTCTGGTCTCGCATATACCAAGGATATCCTATTTTATATCCTTTAGTTCACTTTCTATTTCTGGGAATCTATTGTCGTCCGTCAGTGTTCGAATATTGTAGGAGCATAGCCAAATTGTCTTCTTGTGGCAGCCGGGTCTTACCTAGGGATTCTTAGCACCCCCCCCTTCCGTTAGTTGTTTGATCGCTGCCGTGATCAAGACTCTGGGAAGTGCTGGGCACTGGGGGCCTTCTCTTTTTTGTCCTGTACATTGACTTGAAGGTTTGGACCGTTATCTCCTCACGCTGGTCCAGTGCGGGTTGAGGAGGGAAGGGAAGGATTTGGGTAGGTCTGGGTTGGTGGGTAGGATTTAGGGATTAGGATCCGCTTCTCTCCCGGAAGAGGATTGGGAGAAAAAACCGAGCTCGCCTGGACAGGGGCGCATCCTTGAAGCAGACCTGTCTTTACCGGGATCGTAAAGAGTGTCTACCCGCTATCCCGGGTTCTAAAAAGAACAGATTTTATTAAATAGGTAAAAATATAAAACAAGAGGTATTCACTTTAAAATTCAAAATAATAAAGTACAAAGAGCGTCAACACCGCAACTGTCAAATCAGTGTTACCAATTTATGCCAAAATATCACCTTCGTTCGATTACAGTTACTGTGTGTTCCGAACAAATGTTCTTCATAAAAACGCTTTATAATGCATTTATACAAATTAAATGAAACATATTATTGTGTATTTCTTTAAGTTACCATTAATAGAAATCTTTAAATATTATTTCTACGCGTATATAATAAAATATGTCTAGTGGCTGTAATGCCAGTGTACTCGGCAAAGTAATTCTAAAAAAGAACACACCTACCGCCTAAATATTTCGTGTTGGTATCATGTGACCTCACGGACTATGCAACGGTAAGTAAATTAGATGAAGTATATGTGAAAAACACTATATACCTACATATGAATAAATAGATTAATTCAGTTTATCAAAGAACTTTATTTATGAGAGTACTATTTATTGTTGACAAAAAAAATTTGTGGCTCTTTAAAAACTTTAAAATTTTGTAAATTTTATTTTTTGGCTCTTCCGACTCAAAAGGTTGCCGACCCCTGAGTCTAGTTGCTTGGAATTGGCAGCTCATTACAAATGTAAATCTTCAAACAGCAGATAAGGGTGGAAGGCCATAAGCCATTAACGTATGGATTTAGTTAACACCAATAAGAAAATTAATTAATTACTATTTAACTGGGAATAAGCCACAATTAAAGATAAAAATACGTTTATTGACGTTTCAATTTCCAATTACGAAGTGGAAATTGAAACGTCAATACACGTATTTTTATCTTTAATTGTGGCTTATTCCCAGTTAAATAGTAATTAATTTAAAATGCCACAAGAAAATAGCTTCAGAACAATATTAAGAAAATTAATGGGCAAATTCCAGTAGTTGGCTGTATACAATAGGTAAAAAACTTATACAGAGGTAAAAAACTTAAATATTTGTATATTGGTATAAAAACATTTAATTAAAACTTGTTAAAGTTGTCGTCCAAAATATATAGATGCATAGCGTTTTCGATCTAGCTCAGATCATCCTCAGTGCCTTCTTATCGTACTTGTGTTAGTGTTTTTAGTGTTAGTTACAAGTACCAAAAAAGGTACTGAGGATGATCTGAGCTAGATCGAAAACGTTATGCATCTATAAATTTTGGACGACACTTTTAACAAGTTTTAATCAAATGTTTTTATACCAATATACCTACAAATTTTGAAGTTTTTTACTTTTATATAAAATACTTATATATTTAATAAACCATGCAAGTAGCATTCATATAGCAAAAGTACCTTAGCAATTACATCACTGAAACCTTAAACTTTTCTATGCTAATATCAAATTTAAAGTTTCTACACGTATCAACGTAAAACGTCCAAAAAAGACTAAAAAAACGCTTCCAAACTACGCTACTGCACTCGACAACTGAACATCAGCGGAAATGATTAAATCAAGTAGTAGGTATAACACAGGATAATACATGAAAACTATTTCTTTAACATTGAAAATATTGCATAAACCAGACCTACGCGAAGTACAAATTAGCAGAAGGCCTTCGTTCTTCGTTATTACGTTAAATGAAGATACTTCCCACAATCTGGTATTGATTATTTCTGATATATATATATATATATATATATATATATATATATATATATATATATATATATATATATATATATATATATATATATATATATATATATATATATATATATATATATATATATATATATATATATATATATATATATATATATATATATATATATAGACATTTGGTTTTATTGACGCTATTGCAGAAAATTGTTAAATATTATTATTAAAGTTAATAATTCTTACAAGTGCTTTTTAATATGGGGGGGGGTGTAAACAACAATTTATAAATCAGTTTCCATTAATTTAAATAAATATGCAGGTTATGAGACCCTAGGCAAGAAAACGAATATAAAAGCAGGAAAGGATTAGCATCAACGGAAGTGAAAAATGCAGTGATTAAAAACAAAGGGCATATAACGGGCAAAAATAAAAAGGAATTATACAAAAATAAAAGAAAATACACAAGGAGGGTTAGAACAAAGCAAAAGGATTACAAAGCGAACGCATCAACATAAGTTTATTGGCAAAATTGTCAAACGGTAGATGTGTAGGGCGCCCCATGAAAAGAAGAACATAAGTTTGATTCCTAAACAAGCAACAAATGCCTTATTTATTGACTCAGAGCATAAAGTTATTGACACTAATCAAACATTTCAACGGTTTATTACTTCTTCTGGTTTACAGAAGCTTAAACGTGCGCTAGCTATTACAAACATGGACTTTTTCTACGATATTAATAATGATCCTGATTCTTTGACAGTCTTTCTTACCGAAATTTATAACAATTTAATATTACAGTATTTTCCACTAAAAAAAGTACGACAAATGACTGAAAAAACACCTGTGCAATGGTTTAATAATGAATTAAGGTCTAACAGATCTAATATTTCTCTTATCAAACACATTGCAGAGGCCACTAAGGATCCCGACTTGTTCAAAGTATATAAACAACAAAAAGTTGAATATAATCGGCAATTAAAAATTGCTAAAAAGTCAGCTTACTGTAATTTTATTACTAATTCCAATAATAAACCTAGAGACTGCTGGAAAATAGTAAATTTCGAAAGAAACTACACTAAATCCACTTCGGTACAACCTGATCTACCTCCAGACGAAATGAATCAATTTTTTAGTACAATTGCAGAGAATATAATTACATCTCTTTCCACAATTAACGTCGATGTCCTCGTCAATTATAGAAATTATCCTTCTCCGAGCAAGTCATTTTTTTTTCGGCCCGTTCTCGAAGAAGAGGTCTCTCAAATAATAAAGTCGCTTAGTAATTCTAATTGTAGGGACGTTCACGAGATTAATAGCAAAATTTTAAAAGAAACTTACCAAATAGTCTTAACACCTTTTACTTATCTTATTAATTTAATTCTATCCACCGGAGTATTTCCAGAAGTACTAAAATACTCAAAAGTACTACCAATCTACAAAAAAGGTGATTCCTCAAAAACTGACAATTACAGACCCATAAGCATTGTTTCTACTTTTGGGAAAGTGGTTGAAAAGGTTATCAAACAACAATTTTATTCCTATTTTGAGTCAAATAATTACTTTAACAACTCACAATATGGATTTAGAAGTGCTCGTTCTACTACGAACGCGGTATTTAATGTTGTGAGCGAGGTGATTGAGGGGCTTGAACGCGGCAATCGCGTAGCAATTTCTCTTTGTGACTTATCAAAGGCTTTTGACTGCGTTTCACACGACATTTTGCTCCACAAATTAAATTACTATGGAATCAGAGGTATCCATCTTAAGCTTATAACTTCTTATCTATGTGGCAGACACCAGGCGGTAGTGTCTAAAGGTCATCTCTCTGATTTTCTATCCGTAAAACATGGAGTCCCACAAGGTTCGGTCTTAGGACTTTTTTTGTTTATTTTTTATGTCAACGATCTGCCTAAATTCATATCTCCGTACAAAACCATACAATTCGCAGATGATACGACATACGTTATATCAGGAAAAAATAATGATGATTTAAAATTGTCTCATGAGGAAGTTTCTACTAAATCTAGCTCATGGTTTGCTGCAAACAAACTAAAACTTAATTCTGATAAAACGCAAAATATGGTTATATCTGTAAGTAATTTACACAATGACCTAGTTAACAAAGAGACTGTTAAACTATTGGGAATAACTATAGATAATCGACTCAACTGGTCTGCTCATATCTCACACCTTAAGAAACAGCTATCAAGTTCATTATTTGTTATTCGCCAACTAGCACGGGTTGTCAACTTTGAAACATTAAAAATCACATATTTTTCTTTATTCCACTCTCACCTAAACTACGGTTTAATTATATGGGGCAATTCAACAAATGCACTCCAAATTTTTAGAATACAAAAGAAAGCTGTCAGGATTTTAGCAGGGGTTAGTTATCTAGAACACTGCCGACCTTTCTTTATCAAATTCAAAATTATGCCGTTACCTACTCTGTTGATATTTCAAGTTTTAACTCAAATTCACAGAAAACGTGCCCATTTAATAAAGCAGTATGATATCCATGTTCACAATACGCGAAACTGGCACTACCTACGAACAAATCGCTGTAGATTAAGTCTTTCAGAAAAAAATAGTCTTAATTATAACTATTAGAATATTTTACCAAAAAGTATGAAAGAGCTAAGCTGTAATAGTTTCGATAAAGTTATAAAAAAATATCTTTTAAAACATTGTTTGTACTGCTCAGAAGAATATATGACTCATTGCAGAACATCCACTGAACTGCTTACCGTAACTTTGCCATAAATATTTTTCTATTTAATATGTTTTCATGTTTGTATTATTTATCTGTTTAATATGTTTTTATGTTTGTATTTTTAATGTTTTTGTACTTAATACCATGTATGTTTTTTTTTGACTTGCTACAAACAATATTTGTATATGTTATGTAGTTAAATAAATACTCTACTCTACTCTACTCTACTCAACATCTTCTAACTCGAATAGTTATAAGATTACGGAAACTGGATAAAATGACATAAAAGTTGTTAACTCAGACAGAAGACCACAAGTAGAACTGTCAGAAATATCAGTTCTGCCTTAACAATCAGGTAAAATAAGTCTAGCTGGCTAGCAGAAGATATGCCATTGCACTATTGCTTACAATATATTACATACCACGCAGACTAAGGCTCTAATAGAAGGTTTGATTGCCACTAATAGAAGATACTCCTCACAAATGAACCCAAAACAGTATGTCTAAAAACTTTAAACAGTTGTGATAGTTGTATAGCGAAGATCTGGAGAAAAGTTTTATGATTGCATTATCTCTAACCAAAATGATTTGATAGTGGGTGAGACATGTTCATAATTTGTTCGGCCGCAAGAGCAAAATTCGTGCCCATTCATGTGTGGTAAATTATGCATCATACCAAAAAAATCAGGAAACAAAATTATCAAAAATAGGCACATACTTGATATTTGGTGATAGTATGCAGTCATTGAAATAGTACGAGGTAGAGTAAAATTTGTAGTGACTCAGCAAGTAAAAATGTAACGAGAAGTAAAGATTAATTTAGTGCAGAATGAGTCATTCTTGAATTGAAGTGGTTGTAACTAAACAAGCCCGCAAACTACTGTAAGTTTTTACTAGTTTCATGTATCCTGCAACACCAGATTTATTAACTTCGCTAGCCTGTTGAGGCAAGACAAGATAGTTTGTACAAAACCAAATAGATTGTCCATAAGATAGATTTCCCAAAATATTGTAGATAGATAGAAAGATACAAAAATTGTATTGGTTGTTTTAAATGCTGTTCGATGTTGTACTTATTTCCTATCCTTTAATTAATTTTCTCATTTGGCTCGGTTGTATATTGCCCAACTAAGGAAAAGTACCGTAAGTCCAAAAGTATTGAATATTGAGTTACGTATGGATTACTATATTTTCCACCATGCAAAATTCAATGGACTACTCAAAATTGCCGTATCTCTAACAGTGATTGAGATATAAAATAATTTTTTGCAGTAGGTGTATCAAAAGTTTTAAAATAATAAGCAAGACTGCCGTAAATACGATAGACTAACCAAGAATGCAGTAACTCCTTTGTACATACTGCATTTATGCTTACTACACTGTACTTACTGCAGTCTTTCTTAGTGGTTATTTAAACAGCTGATGTACTTACTGCATTGTATTTATGTTGACCGTAGATTGTGAGGTTATATGAGTTTGCTAAAAATTTGTTGTGTTTAGTTTAGGTTATATTAAGCCAATATTGGTGTTGTTGAAGTGGTTTAGAAAGTATATAAATTACATTTAGTTAGTTGTTGTTTTGGAACATGAGTGCTTAAAAGTTTAATACAGTCTCAACTAGTTCTGAACTTATTGTAAACTTAGCTCTAAAAAGCACCAAGACTGACAAAACAGTTGTACAAGATAAGAAATTAGAGCTAATTTTACCTACAAATGTCCTTCCAGTGATTTATTAGAAGCTAATGAAGAACCTTAACCATCTAGCTGCACTATAATGTTGTCAGATGATGTTGGAGATGTGAGATTACCTGACAATATAACTTAACAGGTAACAGACAACCATAATATATTAGTTTATGGCCTTAGTGAAAATACACTAATATCACGTCCACTGGAAGAATTTGATGTTGATAAATCTGTTTATTTAGAATCACATAATAACCTACAAGTTATAGATGTACCTGAAGTACTATTTGAAAATCTATTTACAAATGTGGTCCAACCAAACAATGATAACATAAACTTGGAAGAAGATGTAGGTGTTCCTGTTGCTAGTATTGATTTTCTGATACCTGCAAATGAAAATAGTATACCAATGAATTTATATTGTAATGACAATGCAGACCAACATATTGACAATATCGTCGTAGAAAATCAATTAACCTCTGTCACGAAGAAAAGAAAAAGGTTTGAAACTAGTCTGGAAGAAAGAAAAAAACTTAAAGTTAAAGAAATAAAAATATCTCATGCTGTAAAACACATACCGTGTAAAAACGCTGATGCTTTTTGCAAAAAAAAGTGTGGACAGAAAATTATTGCAGAACGAAGAGAGTTTATAGAAAAAAGTTTTGGGAAATGACGTGGTCTGAACGTAGACATTTCATTTTGACATCATGTGATAAGGTTGATGTTAAACGCAGAAGAAATAAAAACACTGAAACAGAAAGACGATCACTATCTATTCAATACAAACTAAAAGATTGCTCTAACGTCACACAAGAGGTTTGTAAGAGTTTTTTCCTCACCAAATTAGGCTTTAAGAAAAATAATGACAGGTTTGTGCATTATACACTCACAAATACTCCTAAAAGTGCTGTAACTCTACCTAGTGATACGAGAGGAAGACAGCCATAAAAAAATAAAGAACCACATTACTTAATTATCAAACACACCGAATCATTTCATCCCACGATTTCCCATTACAGACGGGAGCATGCTCCAAATGTGCGTTACCTTCCAGGTGATGTTAATGTAGCACTTATGCACAGTGAATTTATCAACAAATTTCCAGAGTTTAAAGGGAAAGTATCATATGATTTATACATGCGAATCGTTAAAGAACAACATATATCATTCGCACAACTAGGACATGAGGAATGTGAAAAATGTGAGCAGTTTACTCTTCATGCCCACAAAAAAGAGAATCTTGACATATCGTGTGACATATGTAAACAATGGAAAGGTCATGACGAATTAGTTATAAAAGCTAGAAACGCATGTAAAAGGTTTTGTAAACAGGAAAGATCAAATAATGCAATATGTTTTTCAAGTTACATGCAGAAGGTTATCATGTTGCCAAGTGTGGACATGTTCAAGAAACTATTATTTGTAAAGCGTTTAGTAGCCTATCATGAAACCTTAGCACCTGTAGGGAGAAAAAGTAAAGCAAAAGTTCACTGCATTTTGTGGCATGAAGGAATTTCAGGCCGCAATAAAGAAGATAATGTTAGTGTGTTGTACATGTTTTAAAACAACACAGAGATATTGAAAAAATAGTTCTTTGATTAGACAACTGCTCTTCCCAAAACAAAATCTGGTACCTTTACACATTTTTAGTGTACATAATAAACTCTGATGACATTGCAGCTAATGAAATAGTTTTAAACTATTTCCAACCTGGTCATTCATTCATGAGTGCAGACAGTTTTCACCATCAAGTAGAGCAATCATTAAAGGCTCAAAAAAGAAAACTTATGATTTTGAAGACTTTGTTAATGCAGGGAAAAAATCAAAATCTGGAAAATGTCAATGTATGCAAAATGCAACATTTTGATTTCTACCACTGGCCCAATTTCGTGTCCCAACAAAAGCTAAAATCATCATCACGTTTGCATTTAAGTGACATAGTTAATATTAAAGCTGAACGAGGCAGTTATCATTTGTTGTGCAAGAAAAACTATGATGTAATAAGCCCTTACCAACAACTGGACTTTTTACAAAAAAAATCAATGAAAGGGATTTAACTGCCTAGCCATAACACTGCACCATGTGGATTTCCAAAAGATAAGAAGAAAACTATCTTTCAGTCATTAAACGAAGTACTACCAGAAAATCGAAAACAATTTTGGAAAGACTTGCCTACAAACATCTCAGCCAATAGTCCTCATTCCTTCTACTTATATAAAAGTATTGGTTATATTTTTTAGAAAATATTTTAAGTTAATCCATGTGGAACCTCGATTATCCGTCAGGGCACCGGACTAAGGGTATGACGGATAATCGAAAAGACGGTTAACAAAACATGAAACAGTCAAATCAATTTGATGTAAAATATTTCGAAATTTTAATTTGTTTTATTGTAACTTCACATTTTGCAATTGCTGAATTTCTTAATCGACAAAAAATCATCAAATCTGCCTTATTTGCTTCTTCTTGTAGATAATACCACTCGATGAATTATTGTATGTGCGATGCAGCTTCTCTAGCTCCTTTAAGCAAATCTTTGTTCGTCCATGTTTGTGTCATCTTCTGAATGTTTCATCAGCCTTGGTTGCCATTTCAACGATTTCATCATCTGTCAGCAATTGATAGCCGTTTGCGTCCTCATCACGTATTAACCATTCGTTTATGTCATCATTAGGTACCGAGAACAAACCAGTTGATTCAGCCATAACTTTATTTGTAACCGTATCACGCTGGGCTATCACAGTGACAAGTGACATAAACAATGATCAAATTTGAATCAAACTGAATTATGAATCAAACTGAATTATGAACTCCGCCTTCGGTAAGTACTGGGTGAATTGAGTAGCTCAGTAAATGCCGATCCGGTCCCAAGCCCGGATAAAGGAGGAGGGTTGAGGCGATGGGCTAGCAACTCGTCCCTTGTCAAAAAAAATTAATGCTAAAAATTTCGACCAAAAGCCTCGGACTACAAAGGATGGATCAACACAAAGACGACTAATGCAACGAAAAAGGAAAATGATATTGGCTACATGGAATGTACAAGGACTGAGAACCAAACAAGCAGAAGTATTCAAAGAATTAGCGGAAAGAAAAATAGATATATGTGTTCTCACAGAAACCAAGAAAAAGGGAAAAGGAAATGAAGAGATAGGAGAATATATACATATCTACAGCGGAGTGAGTAAAGATAACAGAGCTAAGAGGGGAGTCTCTATTGCCATTCGAAAAAATCTTAAAAACAACATTAAATCGTGGACTGAAGTAAATGAACAACTACTAATACTGGAAATGAAAAAGAATGGGCACAATATCGTAATTGTCGGAGTATATGCCCCAAACGAAGATGCAAATCCAAAAAGTAAAGACGATTTCTACGACAATATGAATGAAATACTCTCTGAAGTTAAAGAAAACTGTGAAATCTTTATACTAGGAGATTTAAACGGCAGAGTAGGGACAGAAGAAAATAGCAGAGTCGTAGAAAGATATGGAGAACAAATAACCAATGACAACGGAATGCGTTTTAGAGATTTTTGTGAAATAATGTCTCTCAAAATTATGAATGGATTTTTTCAACATAGAGACATCCACAAATTTACATGGATACAACCTACTAGGAATCTGCGATCGATAATCGACTTTGTAATCCAACGTCAAACTTCCCAGCTGAAAACAACTGACGTAAGGGTATACCGTGGATCAGAATGTGGATCCGACCATCATTTACTTATGACCAATGTGATAGTTAACTATCGCAAAAACAATAACACTCAGTTACAGAATATAGAAAAGGGACAAAAAGTAACATCTCCTAAATATAACCTAGAAAGCTTAAAAGAAGATTCAACAAAATTTCTTTACAAATTACGACTGGCCACAAAATTACAAAATGTGGATCGAGAAAATATAACAGCGGAAGAATTATACCAACAACTTAAAAAGTACATTCATAAGGCTGCAAGTGATGCTTTGGGGTATAAAGACAAACATGAAACAAAAAATCAAGAATGGTGGTCGGAGAATATGCAAACGTTAGTAAACAAGAAGAAAACTGCTTATCAGAAATGGATGTCAACGAGAAAGGAGGAAGATCACAAGGTATATACGAAATTAAATCGAGATGTAAAAAGAGAAGTAGTGAAAAGTAAAAATGAGATGGTAGATGAGGTGAATAGGTATATGGATGGAACAAGAGTTGGGCAAGCGTGGAAGGTGATAAAGTCTCTCCGGAGAGACGGAAAGGAAAAATCTAACTTAAAATTTATAGATCTGAAACAGTGGAAACAGCATTATGAGGTCTTATTGACAGAGGATAGACGTAAATTCCAAGATATCGAAATGGAAGAAATATCTGAACATTCACGAATAATTGAGATAACAACCGGAGAGTTAAGCGATGCCCTCAAAAGATCGAAAAACGGTAAAGCAGCAGGACCTGGAGACATCCCTATTGAGTTGGTAAAGTATGGACCAAAAATATTACACGAGATGATGGTTAAACTATTTAATAAATGCTTAAAAGGACAAAATATCCCTGATGATTGGAATGTTGGATACATCAGCTCAATATACAAAAAAGGGGATAAACGCAATTGCTCTAATTATAGAGGAATAACTGTTACTAGCTCAGTTGGGAGGTTGTATGGTCGAATAATAAAAAAACGAATTGAATCAGAATATGAAGACATAGAGGAACAAAATGGATTTCGGGCAGGAAGATCGTGCATTGATAATATATTCGTTCTGCAGCAGGTAATCGAAAAACGGAAGGCAAGGAATCTATCTACCCACCTATTGTTTGTAGATTTAGAGAAGGCATATGATACGGTACCTTTGAAAAAACTATTTTATATATTGACGAAAGTAGGTCTCAGTAGAGAGTATGTGGATGCTATCGCAAATATATACAAAAATGCAAGAAGTGTCGTTAAAGAAGGAAACTTTATATCTGAATCATTTCCAATAACCAAGGGGCTTAAACAAGGATGTTGTCTATCTCCGACCCTGTTTAAAATATATATTCAATCATCGCTAGAGCAGTGGAGAAAACAAGTATCCGGAATGGGAATAGACATAGGCGGTGGTGAATGTCTAACAGCTTTATTTTTCGCAGATGATCAGGTAGTCGTAGCGAATGACGAGGAAGACATGGACTACATGTTTAGAAAACTAAAGAAAGAATATGAAAAATGGGGCCTCAATATGAATATGGCAAAGACAGAGTATCTTAAAATAGGAGATGGGGAAGAAGATCCAGAGTTAGAAATTAGAAACACAAAAACGTGCAATGAATATAAATATCTCGGATCTATAATATCTAAAGAAGGCACTACCAAAAGAGACATTGAAAACAGAACACAGCAGGGAAAAAAAGTGGTAAACATTCTAAACTCTCTACTTTGGTCTAAAGATATTAGACAAGAAACGAAGACATACCACAACAAAGAAGAAGAAGGGGAAGGCCTTCAGTTGCCTGGGAAGAAAATGTACGGCACATAATGAGAGATAGAGCCATCAGAGAAGACGAATGGATGGACAGAAAACGATGGCGGTCGAAATGCGAGAAACGGCAGAGGCTGTAGGAACCTCGCTTATATATATATATATATATATATATATATATATATATATATATATATATATATATATATATATGTACTGAATTATGGTGACACACAGATATTGACCGTAATAATTATTGTGCTGTGCATTTTTATTTTCGGCTTGCGATTATAAAAATAGAACTCTAAAAGCACGGTTTTATCATCACCTATTTACTTTAAAATTTATTCAACATCCCTGAATAAGAACAAAAATTATTTACGTAAAAAAATGCGGTGGTGGCATAACTGCACCTGACCCTGACGGTTAACAGAGGTGACGGTTAATAGAGAGACGGATAATCGAGGTTCTACTGTATTAACTTTATTTTTCTTACATTAGTAGATTATAAAATATATATATACTGTGTTCTTTCAACCAACTATTAAAAATGTAAACTAATACATACGGCAAATATAGCCATTCACATTACTAAGGAAGAGTGCCGTATGTACGACACCATTTTATATTTTTAACTTTTTTTGCATTAAAGAAATAAAAATTTTCATTTGTGTTTAAAATAAATGTACTTTAAGAATAAACAATTAATAACTAAAATATCTTCATATTCAAGATTACAGCATCCTTCTAAACTTTATGTCGAGTTTTCTCAAAATCCTACCATTGTTACTTACGGCAGTTTTGGTTAGCTGGGCAGTATAAAGGTTAAACCCAGGATTTGCTACCTCTGATAGATCAGTGCCGAACACTTTTATAGGACATGTGAGGAGGTTTCCTTCTCCTCATTACAAAGATGGCACCGTGGACCATCCGCCAAGCCAAGCAAATGAAGGTCCCGCCTGAGCCTACAGTGGCCGGTAAGCATACTGGCCACCAGAGAGCATCTTCTAAGATCTCGAAGGAGAAGTTGGGCTGTAGGACTTTTAGACGGTTCCACTATGTGCAGCCTAGCCTGTCTTAGAAATCCACAAATAGCCCAGGAGCAGATAAAGATATCTCGG